TTTAATATTTTTTTAAATTTTTTATATAAAAAAAAATTTTAATATAATCTTGTTTTATTTTAAAATTTATATGGGTTTTATTTTTAATTTCTTAACACAATTTAATTGTTGATTAATTAAATAAACTTCTTCCAAACAATATTTATGGCTTTATTTATTAAAAGATTCATTTTCTAAATGTGTTATTTCACAATCAAAAGATTATAGTATAAAAAATGCTTTCTCTCTAAGTGTTTAAATTTGAATTAAGAATTTAACTAATATTTGAGCAAACTAATAATATTGTACAATTAATTTATATAAAACATATTTTTTATTATTTTTATATTTATTTTGTTGATATCTTTTATTTTATTATTTTACTTTAACAATTATTGTGTATTCTTCTTATTATTTAAAAATTTATTTTTGTTTTCTTTGTTAATAATGATAATATTTAGTGGCAAATAAATAAAAAATATACATATTGCAAATGTTTCAAAAGGAAGATATATACTCCATAATGGCGATAATATTTTTCTGTAAAATTTTTTATTACTAAATTTACATTTTATATTCATGCTAAAAATATTGAGTTTTCTGTAGTATGAAATATAATATATAGGAAAAAACTATTTCGTTAGGTAAAATTGATGAATGCAACTATTAAAAAAATCTTTTCTAAATTACTATGTATAAGCAAAAATTACATGTAATAAAAAAAATCAATTTAAGAAATTTTATTACAATTAAACTTCAGTATATATAAACGAAACCAATTTAAAAATTAAACATCATTAAGAAGATAATCTGTTTTGAATCTGCAGGGATGTTATATCCTTTATAATATCGCTATTTTGTGGTTAATTATCTGAACCATATTTTTCAATACAAATATTTTCCTACTTTTTAATTTGATTTGAACTCAATGTTGTATTAAAAAGTTAAATTTTATTATGTGAAATATTTTTTTAGAACGCTAATTGTTGGAGTCTGTTGGAGAACAGACTGGAAAAATTCTTGCTCCCGAAAAATATTTGTATTATAAAAATAATAAGCACTTATATTACAAATAAGTGTTCCAAACTAAATAATTCATAATAATGCTTTAAAATTAATATATACCTTTTATTTAAAAAAAAACAAACTGAAATGGTAGGTTACATTGCTAGAACAAATAGTATCTTTGACTAAAAATAATTAAAAAAAACTCAAAGGATTTAATATTTCAAAAGATTTTTAAATGTAACATATATGTAAGAAATACATTTGAAAATTACCAGAATTTATATATTGTTCAACTAAAAATTATAAAGAAGTTTAAAATTAATCATAATTAAGCATAATAATGCTTATTTACATCCTGAAATAAAAAGATAAAATGATTAAAGTTTTAAAAAATTTTTTTAATTGACCGAATTGTGTTAAATTTTAAAATTTAAAAATGTAAAACAAAATAACTAGAATAAAAATAACTAAATAAATAAATAAATAAATAAATAAAATAAAATAAAATAAAATAAAATAAAAATAAAATAAAACTTATAAATTCAAATTACTTTAGTAGCTTTTAATAATTTTACTTCAAACATTTGATATTTATTATGTCCTGTTCAAACCTAAGATAAAATTTTTTAGACAAATCCAGTACACTGTAAATTAGCATTTTTAATAATTTAAAGAATTATTATACTATTAAAACAAATTAAAATTATAATAAAATTAAAAAAAAAATAAAATATATGAATATTTAAAATTTTTGAAGAAAATTTTTTGTTGCAATTATTAATTATTTTTTGTTGTGATTTATTTATCTTATACCATTATTTACTTTCGATATATTAATTTATATAAAAGAAACTTATTAACTCTTTTAATACAACCTGTGTTTAAATAATTAGATTTTTATTTTTTTAAATGTAACTTTTATTTTAACTGCAGGGGTCCTCATTTCAAAACTTATATTATCGTATCCGTATAAAATGATATTTATTTTTATATGCCATTTAATTTCATTCTCTTTTTATTATTCTATTTTTGTTTTTTTATTTTTTATTATTTATTAGTTTTTGTTATTTTGATTTTTTATTATTATTTTATTATTATTTTGTGTTTATTTTACACACATAACTAGTAATTATCACTTGTATTTAAAATTTTTTTTTTTAAATTAAATTACTAAAACCATTAATATATATACTCGAATATTTTATAAGCCTTAAGTAATGTCTTTATATATTTTTTTATTTGTTTATTTGTTCATTTTGTTGTGTATTTTTTTTGTATTAATTATTTTTTACTTTTATATTATTTATAATTTTTGAAAAGTGTTTGTATATATTATTTTACTCATTTATTATTTTTAACGAAATTAAAAGTATGCATTTTAATTTTTATTTATTTCAATTTAAAATGTATATATCGCACAAAAAGTATCTAGAATTGTTAAATATAGCACAATAACAAGTATTCATCAATGAAAATTTGCTCATTTATAGGATTTGTCAAACTATGCCACTGCTTGATCCAATCCTCTATATATTTTTTATAGGCTGGATGGGAAATGTTTTTACCTATCTTTTTTATGACTGCGCTCAACTCAAAACGCTTCCTCAAAGTGAAAGTTTAAGCTTCGGGAATAGAAAATGTCAAATACACTGCATTCAGATGTACATGGTACTTTCTTAATCAAGAAAAACATATCTATAACGATGGCTTTATGCATAACGCTGAGCACTTAAAAGTATAACTGCAAAATTATATGTCTTGAATACAAAAGATAACATATGCTCAAATATCGGTGAAAACACAATAAAACTTCCAAAAAAAATTGTACCGATATCTTTACCTACATTTTACAAATTATAAATTCTGGATACTTTTTATTCACAGTATATATTATTTTTCCTATTTTAACTAACCTTTCTTATAAACATTTATTTGATATTTTGATGAAACTTAAATTATACATTTTATAATCTTTAATTTTGTATAATAATCAATATTAATATTAAAAATTATTATATCATACTCTAATAGAATTCAATGTGTTTATTTTATTATTGTTTATTATTTTCTTTTTCTTTCAATAAAACTATTATTTTCATACTCTTTTTTATTTTAATATTATATCTTTAAATTTTTTTTTGTTTAAATTATAAGTTTTAAATCTTTTTATTTTTAATACAAACACCTTATTTTTGGAATTTTAAAAAATTGGCGGAAACCATTATCGGTGGGTTTTACAACCAAAAATTTTGGCACAATTAAAAAAGTGAAATATATTTTGGATATTTAAAATAAATATGAGAATATACTTATAATATACAGTTATAATATTTATTCATTGTATTTATATAGAGATTTCTTAGTACATAAAAAGTATAGCCGCTCGTATCTTACTTCACACTTTTCAATACTTTATGATTTATTTAATTTCTTATCAAGACAATTATGAAAAAAATGATAATTTGGTTATCTATTTTGGTTACTTGATGTAATTTGTAGACTTCCATATTATATAAAAAACAACATCATAAATATTAAACAGTAAAGATCATTTCTGTACACACAAAAATTTATAATATCAGTCAATACCTACAATGGATGGGTATTAACTTACATTTAAATTTTTCTATCGTCTACACTACATAGATTTTCATATACATTCTCTTTTATTATTGATACTATCAATAATTTTTTAGCTACTCTGGAGAACCTAATGTCAGCTTCGCACATTTTGAATATAAATTTAACGTACTAATAACTAATGGTTAATAATTACGAATTAATAATACTATTATTAATAATAATATCATTAAAACCAATAAAGAAGATATAAGAATAAAAAAATTGTGTGTCTGTAGTCTTAAAAAAGATCAAAAGTTTTACATAGTAAAGACAAGATATATAAATGCTTCAAAGTTAGGAGCTCAGGAAAAACATTTACAATCAGTTAAATTTCTTTTCTCTGTTTATATTCGAATGAAAATTTAAGTCGAAAATTTTATAATAAAATAAATCAAACAAATTTAGGTAATATTTCTTAGAAAATGATTGACATTCATTATTTTCTTAATAATTTTAGCATGAATATAAAATGGCCACTAAAATACTAAACTACAAAATGTCTGTAATAATGAAATGATATATATGAATTAAATATTTCTTATACGATTTTTTTTTTTTGATTTTCATTTAATTTGTATATCCTTAATACACATAAATATTTATATAAAGGTTAGAATATGTTACTTTTGTTATACTACTGTGATTGAATTCAACCTTTTTTTTTGTTTGGAACTATTTTTTTTTAATTTTTAATTAAATTCGAACAAATCTTTTACTTATACTATATCTTAACTCTTTTTATAATAGAATGTTACAGTTTAAAAACTTATAAAGAAATTATTAAATATAGAATACATATAATTAATTCTTAACAATTTTAAACTATTTTTAAAAACATTTAAATTCAAATTCATATTTGATTGATATTATTTTATTAGTATATATTTCTATATATCGCTTAATTGCTAAATCATTTGAAATATATATAAAAGTATTTTATTGTTCAGTTTTTAGTTACTAAAAAATATTTTTAAAAATATACAAAAAGGTAAAATATGTTCACACACTTGAAAAAGTGTTTTGTTTGTTTGTAGTGTATAAATATCAGGTTGATTGATTCATTTTTCAGTGTAGCAAAGGAAACACATTTTGGCACATTTTCAGTTACTTTTGATAGTAAAATTATAATATATTCTTAATATTGTTCACGTTTTTACTTAAGTCATATGTATTTTTATATATATGCACATACAGAATTAGTATTCAATATTTAATTTATACAGCATAATTATATTACAAAATTATTCTTAACAACTTCACAATTCTATTATTCTTATGAAGACATTAGATTTTTTACAAAAATTTTTAAAAATAAATTAAATAATAATAATAAAATTAATTATCTTATAGCTTATGTAATAATAATAAAAATTTATAATAATAATAACAATAATTATAAATTTTTTAAAATGTTAAACTTGTATTTTAAAATATATTAAAATATCTTTCCGCTTGAGATTAGCATTTCACACTTCAAATTCAAGCCACTTCATATGTCGTTTAAGCCCTGTTTCCGTTCCATTTCTTTTCATCTACACTATTAAATTATTATCAATTGTTATTTTTCCATCGTGAAAGTAGTTCCTTCCAACGATTTTTGCGTCGCCTACTTCAAATTTGCCATATAAGCAAATGGTTTGTACTGTCTTCACGGCCAGCAATTTCACTCAATGAATTTGCGCCGGAATTTCGGAAGTCTTCATAACCATCACCACCCGATATAATGAGAATGTTGTTGGACTCATTTTTCGGTTTTTGATTTTTAGATAAGCTACTAGAATAATAAAGAAAACCATTGTTAATACATTCTTGATCTATTTAAGAATATTTATTTAAATTAACAACACATTATACCTTTGATTTTTGTACTCTGCACTGGAAATACTATCACTATCCTTTGTAGCACCAAGGCTACTATTATCACCCGTTATGCCTGTTGTTTCCACAAATGTTATGAAACGTACATGTCCAGTATGTCCATGTGGTATACCGGTGGGTACTACATTTGTAGCGTTACCCTTTTCATATCCCTGTGCTGGTATAGTCAACATCACGCCTGCACTTGTACCAATCCATATTAAATCCTTACAAGACAGCAACGATGTTACACGTAAGCAAGCTGCCTTATGTTGTCGTATTATTTCATCACAATTCGAAAGCATTTTATTCACAGCAGGCGCTAGATTCACTTCAGTTATTAATTGATGGCTGAAGAAAAGAAAAAAATTATGAATAAAAGAACGTTAATTTTAATATTACAAGCAGTTTATATATTTTTGTTGTATGTAATAAACATAATGTAATTATAATTACCATATTATACTTTTCTACTATTTTTTTATCGTGACATAAATCCACATTTATTAAAATTCAGACTTTTGATGGACTAAACATGCAGAAGAATCAGTTCCTAATGAGAAAAGATTTAGACTGCTTGATTTTTATGATTAAATACTCTACTCAAGCCAGAAAAACTTCTTCCTTCCATGCATTATATGAGTTTATCCGTTTCATAATGTTATGTTGACAGTTCTATTTTAGTGATGTGTATTAAAACAGAAAACAGAATCGTCCGGGGCATTAAAGATTTAGTCTAAAGTTTGACTTTATTCAAATGCGGATCTGAACTGATTTATGCGTTAAATGATTTAAATAAAATAGAATGGTAGAAGGTATTTAATTTTGTGGAGAGAGAATAATTATAAACAGATGCTTTCTTATAAAGAAATTAAAAAATACTTTTTTTTCAACAATGTCCTTAAAATAATGTCGTATTGTGTTCTAAAATATTGACATACACTTATAGTTTTAATTACTCACTAAATTTAAATTACTGATTACTTTTAACATTTAATATTGATTACATAAAAACATAAATAAAGAAAGTCAAAATCTTATGTAATCCAAATCAACAAATAGTGTTATCACACTTTGAGAACAAACATTTATCAACAGACAACCAATTGCCATCTATCTGCGGACTAGGCATAGACAACTACCTCGAAAGAAATAAGTACTATAAGATGTCCCATGTAGAACATTTAAATTATAATGTAGGTTATACTTAATGACAAGCTCTAAAGAATTAATATTTTGATTGAAATCTCAACTATAAGTGTGATACATTTACTTTTAATTTGGAATGGAATGCTGTGCTTAATTTACAATTCTCATTTAGTATGAATCACTTGCAAGAATCCTACATAAAAAACTCAGTGAGCGTTTTAATGTAAATGAAATTTAGTACACGTACATTTATATAAAATAAGTGTAACATATTATTACAAAAAGAATATAGTAAAAAAGAAACTCAAATTTTAAATTATTTACGCATTCTTTTATAAGATATCGATTTATAAGTCTCTTTTGGTATATGATTAGATTAATATTTCGTTCAATAATAGAAATTTAATGCTTGAAATTCAGAAAGCAATAATGTACTGAATTTAAGAATGTAGTAAAAATGTAGTAAAAAAGTTTTATTAATAACTTATTTCTTATATTTCCAAAGTAATATAACATAGTCATTCCTATTTTATAAGTATTACTATCTTTTAACTGAGAAAACTTCCCAAGGTATTTATAGATCTCTTTCAAGAAAATATAAAAAACTGTTTCGCAACTGAATGCAATTAAAATCAATGAATGCAATTATTCTATTATTGTATGTTCGAAAGCATGTTCCAACTTACCTAATGGAATGAAAACATTTGATATGCGCTGAATTCTGTATTGATATCCATACATAATTATTTGAAACAGTCATATTTGTTATTGGCTTTGAGTCTGATGATATTTGTATTTGATGTACAACCTAAACGATATTTGTTGAAATTGTTTGCTTCAATATTATTGTGTAATATTTACCAATAAAGTTTCTACGTCCAAAACTTTTATTATACCCTGTATTGAGCACCACAACTTTCCATGTACATTTAACAATTTTGTTACCGGACTTGTTACAGTACCTATTGAGAGGCAATGAGATGAAGTAGTGTTCCACACCGCTGTGAATTTATAAAAATTATAATTTAATTATAATAATTGTATATTATTAAAACACACAAATATACATACTTCCATCTCGTAGATAAACACATATATCACCATTAGCTAATGCTACAAACACACGATTGTCTAAGTATCTGAAAATTGAAACAAATAATCATTTATTATAAACAGGCAAATTTGAAATAGGACATTTCTGAGACAGATATTTCAAAAATTTCCTATAACATTAAGGAATTAAGATATTGTTTATAAAGGCATATCTAAAACGGCTACCTTTTTCGTCATTAAAGTATATAAGATCCCTGCACAATAACTCTTTCTGTAAGAGGTTTTAAGAATAATTTACAGAATCTGAAAATTATTTGAAGAAAGCCTACTACATATATAAAAACAGCTTCTACTTAGAATTACATCTTATTACAGATTTCAGCACAGATTAGAAGTTATAAGAAGTCTATTAATAAATAAAGAGAAATTTTTTTATGTGAGAACTATTGAATATAAACCTTGTCATTTGTTCTAATAATATTAAGGCTTTATACCGAAATTTAATAGGAAATAAATTAAATATATATGAAGATATTTCCCGTATTCCTCACTTAAATTCTCATACTCATTTTTTTGTCTAAGAAACGTAAAATACAATATGTAGCTTGCTTCAAACAACGATTAATAGATGAAAGCTGATAAAAACTGATGTATAATTCAAGGATTTAAATTGACAACTTTTTGGGACATTAAGTACGACATTTTGGCTAACAGAATATTTTAGGTGAATTTTTTAATCACATTCCATGTCTTGATAAATATTGAAAATGAAATCATTTCTAACATTTTCAGGAATTTTCAGAGTTTTCATAGAATATAACGTGTATATAAATAATTTAATACTTATTTACTCACAATATAGAATACACAGCCGAATGATGTTCAATTTTGATTCTATTTTTCTTAATTCGAATATTGTCAGTGCTGTTGTAAACATGTATGCAACCATCTTCAGTACCAATCCACATCGTTGAAAGATTGCCTTCGCTTTCTTCAGGATTAGAGTCCTATAAGTGAATTAAAAATTAATATATGTATTACATTTAATATACCTACATATTTTATATTGGTAAAATATCAAAAAAGTTCAAAACTTTTATATACCTGCTGTGAATGATAAGGTGTACCAACAGTACCAACTATAGCAGTTGATGCTGTTGAAACGGTGGTTTGGGTTGAGGGTGCTGGACTTGGTATACGATCATTAGCGCCACTACTGCTGCTAGTACCAGCAGCTGTACCACCGCTACCAGCATCAGTTTCATCATCACTTGAGCTTAAGTTTAAGTCTAACTGGATATCACTGTTGTTGCTATTATTACTGTTATTACTTGTACCACTACCATTGGAATTGGCTACCATTTGCAATTTCTTCTTATCTGAATTGCCAATTGATGTTGATGGTGCGCAATTGGGTGAAATACTTTTACGGTAATCGCGCAATTGTTGTGTATAACTGTGATGTTGTGGTGTTCCACTGCGTTGCTGTTGTTGATCCAATGAAACTGAGCTACCACTATAAGCAGGGACCGAAGCCACACATAATATACGAGCATTACAAACTCCATTACAACTTGTCACATTTGGTTCAGGATGTAAGGACATTATACAAACTTGTCCCACATAGCCATCGCTGTTACACACCCAAACATCACGTTTATCACTAAGTGTGGCTGCGGCGCATGTGAATTGCAGCCCAGCTCGCGTTTTTCGTATGGGTATGGATGTCAGGAATTCGGGAATTTGATGTCGTTCTAATGTAGCAGCTATACCAGAAAAAATTATTGTTAGCAATAATGTTTGATTACTTTTATTTTTAAGTTTTTGTTGTTCAATATAGTGATCAATTAATTTTAATTTTAATTATTTTATAATTATCACTAATTCTGACAATAATATCAGTATTATTAACAATTAAATACTGATATTGTTTTAATTTCTTAATTTTTATTTGTTTATTTATATTATTATTATTATTATTATTATTATTTACCTAATTTTTGTTTAGCTTCGTTAAATGTTTCCTCCCATTGTGTGCGTTTTTCGGTTTTATTGAATACTATTGTCAACTTTTGAGTGCCGTTCCTGTACAGAATAATATTTTTTAATAATTTAAAACTTTAACTTTTCTATTTTTAAATTTATATAAATTTCAATAAATAGAAATAAATAAATAATAATTTGACTACTTATCAATTATTTTAACTTATCTGAATATTTCCACAATATTAAGTAATATGAGGTATCTAATATTCAGTAACAATTTATATTTGTAGTTCTAGTCTATGTGATAACTAGTTCGAGAGTTTTATTATTGCTTCATAATTTTATTTTCAAAAACAATTAATCCTTTCTTAAATTATATATAGTTAGATTTATTTTGATTCCTACTTATATTCCTATTTATTTCAAACTTCTTATAAAACAAAAATTTCCAATATTACCTCATATCAATATCCAATACCATCATATTATGGAGTAAAGATATGGGGGTTTTATAATTATTTTAGTTGATTTTATTAACTAGTCATAATAATTTTGCATTTTATACATAAAGTTCAACAGTAATCTATTCCTTCGCAATTAATTATATTTTAATAAAATATCAGATATATATATTCAAAAAATCCAAAGTGCAACAGTTATCTATTCCGTCGCAATTAATTATATTTAAATAAAATGTCATATAAAAATATTCAATAAATCCAATACAAATGTTTCTTTAGTCCCATGCTGTACAGCAATATTCAATTGGAAACATATAGCTGCTCTGTTATAATAAATAATATAATTTACTAACTTTGCATATATCAGTTTCATGATTTATCATGGAAATATTTTAAAATTCTTAGTTACCATATTAGATCATAATTAAGAATCAAATAAATACCAGCCATACAAATGCCAGTCTTCATCACAGAATTTCTTAATATTTCTAGTTTCATATTTATATTTATTTCTTTTTGCTATATCACAGAAATCACATTTATGCACTTATACCAATATTTCACTATAAAAGAGTAGTAAACTATAGACTTCAATCCCTCATATATAATATATAAACTTTTTGAAAATATATAATCATATTAATTTAGTTATCTTTCTTACGGTGAATTAACTGCCAATTCCAGCATATTCAGTTGTGCATCATTGGTTTGCCTTTCAGATAGCTGACGTTGCAAATCTCGATGCAGTTCTCTTATAACATCCTCAAGATACTGATGTGGGTGTTTAAGTGTTATGGTTATATCCATAATTTGCTGCAGCTTATTGCAATCTTCAGCCAAATTTTCAATTTCATTCATAATTCTCTTAAGGTTTTCATCTTTAGCTGACAAGAAGATATATCGTTAGTATTTCATTTTTTCATTTGTTAAGATTGGTAAAAAATCAATTTTGGCTTTTGAAAACAAACTTATAATAATTACATTGCACTACTAATAAAATTTAATTAATTACAAATTTTATATACGATTTGTTATGCAAAATAGAACCAAAATTAATTTTTTTTCAATTGATTTCATATTTGCAAAATTGTGTGCGACTTCTCACTTTTGACAATATCCAAACAATCCAATGAGATCTTTGTAAGGAACTTATATTTATTAGTATCCAGTGTAGATGCTACAGTGCCAGGACAAGTAGTACTATAAAACATAAAATTTATTTAAAAAAATTAATAATAATTAATCTACAGGATGATAATTTAGAGGATTATTTTATATCTTCTAAAATATGAATAAATTACATATTTTATATTATTTTTAAATATTTCTTAAATATGAGCTTAATATGCATTAATCAACTTACGGGTTAGGTTTTCTGATTGTACCACTGCGTTTCTTAATACTTGTTAATACAAGCAGATCATTAAACAAAAAGAAGCCTCGTTCTTTACGTGCACCTTGTCCAGATGGCATTGAAACTAAATCAAAGATCAAGAATTGTCGATCGGGTGCAATCAGATCTGTAATGCCCTCAATGACACCTTCTAATTCACGCAGTGTAGCCTCACGTTGACCATTCTCTAATATTTCACGTTCTTTGCAATTTATATGCACCAATATTTCATGTACTAATTTGAGAACATCTTGTAAGTGCTTCTGATCTGGATGATCGTGATCGGTATGTTTAATAAGTCTTTGAAAAAGCATCTCATAGCTACAAAATAATATATTTACTTGTAAATAATACTTCTTATAAAAAAAATATGTAAACTCACTTTGGAAACTTTTGTACTGGCTTTATCAGCAAATTGTCTAATGTTAATTTCCCTTTATGCTCTCTCGACGTTGCCTCCAAAAACTTGGCAAATGATGGTCGCTGATGCTTAGTGGTACGTATGGCGTTCTTGGCACGATTGCAATTATTTACAAAGGATGTGTAGACTTCAAGCACTTCTAGTTTCGAGAACTATAATAATTTTATTTATATTATTATAAAATAAAATAAATTCGAAAATAAATTTGTTTATAACAAAGCTTACCGTTTCCATAAATGCATCACCCACTTTCTGTTGTGCGTTCCAGTTATCTAAACGTGATTTTAATTGAGCCAAAAACTTCTGATGTATATCCAGTATATCTTGTACCATGAAAAAAATCTCATCAACAGTGCGTGAATCTATCATGCCTGCATGTTCTGGTGACTTCAACACTTTTAAGTATTTTGTTACAACTGTTTCCAAGGACTCAACGTAAGACTGTTCATTTCTAAAGATTTCTTGCACTACATGTGTACGTGTGTCCTGCAACGAAAATAAAGATATTTAATTTAAATATTATAAATAGATTTCTATTTATTGAAAATGGATTTATTTTGATTTTTTTTTTTAAATAATCTTCCCTTAACGAAAAAAACTTACACCTTCATATCCTCCTATTATCCATCTACTTGTCATTTCATAGTGCGCTCTACGCTCGGAATCATCTTCCGAGTCTGAGCATGTTATGGATTGCATTTTTTTCAAACGTTCGCACTTATCATTCTGGTGTGCAGCCACAACTCTATTGAGTCGAGTGACTGCAGTGGTGATAGCTTGATTGGCCACCACGGACATGGTTTGTGAAACGCTGGAAGCAATGCTTGTATTCGAGGATGCTGGAGAGTTTTGTAAGTCGAGTAAACTTAAGCGTAGATTTTCGCGATTATGTGTCATTTTATTAAAATTTAAATTCTTAAGTTAATTAAATTTCATAAAATATTAAATTAATTTTTGTATATTTAGATATATTGATATACTCGTGTATAAATAATTTGCACTTGTTTGAATTTTATTGCGACTAGTTTTTCTTTAAATATTTAACAGCATTATCTTTGATGAGCTCTAAAAGTTGTTGGATGGAAAAGTTTAAATTTCAATATAAATTCATTCGCGATTTTATCGATTTTTTAATAAACAGAACTTTTCTATTAAGAAAATAGTTTAGTTGATATTTTCTTAAATAAATATTGGTCGATAATTAGTTAGTTATAACTAACTTAAAGTTTTAGACCTTGTTAAAATATTCACATGAGTTGAGTTTTGTAACAATATTTGTTCTGATGGTGCTTTTGAAACAAGAACGTATTGAATTCAATGTACGAAATAAAAGTTACTTAAACAGTGAATGAGCTTTCTTCAATCAATCAATTTAATCGGATATCAAGTTAATTGCTGTAGATGATTTTTTTACGAAATGTTGATATTGAATATAATTTAAGAAAGCTTTAAAGTCCGCCCGATATAACTATCGCCCAGTAAATGGTCAATTGATTCAAATACTGAGGTTATCCGAATTTTATAAGTCCTTATATGCAAATATATATGAAAAAACAAAGTTAATATTTAACTAATTTTTTTTCGAACTTTAATTCGATTTCTATATATATTGGAAAAATTCCAGACTTTGAAAAAAATTTAAGTCGCCCTTTTTGAGTAAATCTCAATTATTTAAGTATTTCGTTATATGACGGTATAGCTTAGTTATCAATATATCCAGGTGAAAACATTGAAATTTTTACATAAACATTACCATTGTCAAGGAAAAATCATTTGAAGAGCAGTACAAGAGTTTGAAAATTTACAATAACCCAATTTGTAAATTTAATTTCATCCTTACTAAAAAAACAACTGTTATTGAACTCCATGCTGATAAAAAAAGATGAGATAGTTAAGGACTATATTCTACCAACAAAAACTTCTGCTACAAACGAAAACGCATAAGAAGGGTATAGAGTTATAGTCAAATGAAAACTATAAACCCTACTAAAACTGTAAACGTTTAAAGATTTTAGCACAAAAAAGCTCTTCCAGCTCTAGATGTCACCTCTTTTTTGAAAATAAACCAAAAACGCAATCGCATAAAAATTCTTAAAATTCTATAAGAATGGTTTAAGTATTTTAGTGACACTTCATAGCACTTATCCACGACTACACTAAGGCGACCAAACAATAATTAAAAGAGTTGATTGTAAAAGATAAAAGGGCTTCCAAGTATAGGATTCAAACTTTGTTTTAAGTTGCAAACTAGAATAATTAAAACATACCAATCAACATTACTGACTTCGTAATCATAATTTACAATAAAATCTAAAGATTTGGACATTAAAAAAATGTGATTCATTACGCCAACACATCGATCCACATTTCAAGAGAACAATTGGGTTTTGAATTAACTAATCATTACATTTTCTAAATCCGGTCTCCAGTTCTTGTTTTTTAATTTCAAAGTTCAAAATTAAAGTCGATAAGCAACAATATCAGCAAATAAGGAACTCATAATCACCATAGATATATGGTATATTTTTAAGTTCTTCACTATTTAGACCATTTAAAAAAATTTGATTATCATTGAGAAAAGTGTTAGATTAAAAGTAATGTCAAAATTATCGAGAAAAGAGGAAACCAAGAAAGATCACAATTATTTCTGTTAATGTTTTGCAAACGTCTCTCACAACATTGAAAACAAGACTGAGTTACATAGGGACATATGCAAAGGGAAAAAATGGGATCTAAAAATTAATCTAAATATAATAAAGTCTGTATTGTGATTATTTTTTTGGTTTTGTATATTGGCAATAAGGTAATGCTGTACAATGCCATTACCATCTGGATGTATGTAAAAAACTGCAAAAATTACAAAGCAAAACCAGCAGACAGATTGTAAAAACCCCGTGGTATGTAAAGAATGCCATTTATCAAATGCATCTCAATATACCCATATACCCAGCTATCTGATATCATTTAAAGTTGTATGGCAATGTATTGTTTGCAAACTAGATACGCATTCAAGCATTAAAGCCAGACAACTGCTTATCACCGGCATTTTGTCTAAGTAAGAAACAGCTACTTAACCCATAGCAGATTGTAATATAAATTACCTTTTCTTTGATTAATACCTCAAAGCATTCTCTGTTTAATATGTATCCTCACCTAAGTTTTAAGGCTTGGTATTACTTATTGTTGATTTCAATTAGAAATATTCAATTAAGCAAATAATTCGAAAAAAAAAATATTGTGGAGATATCATCTACAAATTTTGACTATTAAAATTTACAATCATTGAAGGAACTGGTCATCCTTTAAAAATATCTCTAAAAAACAATTGTAGTAGAGTATGCTTTAGATTTAGAGCAAAAAAATTACATAAATCACATCAAAATGATTGTCAGTTTCCTGATATATATATTGCACTTATATATATATCAATACATATATAAATAAAATTGCCTCTAACTTTTGTGCGTAAGGTTAGCAGCACAATTTTTGATTTTCGAAGAACAAAGGATGTGCACTTGTACTGCTGAATGCGGTCTTTCCAAGAAGGTCAACACATTTGCATCCTTTAAAACTTTAAAAATTTAAATAGGAATAATTATCTTATATTAACGATGTTAGAGAGTAATAAGACAACAATTTTCATTTGCATGCCCAAGATTATATTCCCACTTTATTATATATGAATTTCTATTCAAGTTTATCTTAAAAAACATATCTTAGTCATAAGTTATACTATGTAAATAATTAACAATTTTGTTATTTTTTTAATTCGGGGTTATTGTTCAACAGCTAAATAATGATCTTTTAAAATATTTATTTGTTTTTAAAGATTTTATTTTTACCAATATTTCGACTATAATCTATAGTCATCATCAGGGTACTATACAATTTAAATACATGTAACAATAATTTGGTACATATTATACAGAAACAAATACATTAAAATCGAAAACATGAATCATTTATATATGTATATATAGAAACTATTTATACAATACTATGACAATAGATATAAAAATCATATATTTATAGGAAAAATATATTCATCCTCTTCCGGATTTGTCGAAGGTGTTTTCATACACCTGAGCACAGTGTTGTATGTCGCTTTTGAAGTTCAGTCTTGTGTCACTAGGAGTTTGGAGGATGTATAACATCTCTAAGAAAAAGCGTTTTTGTTGATTATTTTCTTAGTGTAATACCTTAATATTATCAAGGTCTGGCTCATGTTTTAATGTAATACAGTGTGATGCCAGTGCTATTTTTGACTCAATATTATTTTTATATTTCACACTGTGTTTATGTCCGGATATACGCGTTTTTAACTTGTTTTTTGTTGTACCAACATATACTTGGTTGCATATGTTGAATCCGTCACCTTTACATTTAATTTGATAAACCACATTGTGTTTATACAAAGTATCTATTTTAGATTTAGAAAACACCAAAAAAATATTTTTTTTAAAAGATCACTATTTAGCTGTTGACCAACAAGCCCGTATTAAAAAAATAACAAAATTGTTCTTAAAAAAAAATTTTTTGGTCATTAAAACATTAAATTAGTAAATAATTAACAAAATAAACAGTACATAATTTTTGTTTAACATAATTAATCGCGTGAATGATGTTAGTAATACGTTGTAGCTAAATCTACATTTTTAACTTTTAATTATTTTAATAAATAATTGACCTAGTTACTTTTTTATTTTTAGTTTATTTGTATCTATCGCATACCCAAACTGATTTAACAGCGAAGTCCAATCGTAATCCTTTTTTGAAAGCATTGCTTATGTCCATAATCAAGTGAATGCTTTTTTTTACAACTATCACTTAATCCTAAAACATATAATTCACATGTATCTGTTCAAACGCAATTGAAACACACTACTGCAGTGTCCTTGCCAATATCTAAACGATTGTAGTAGCAATCTGAGGTGAGAGCATAAATTTAAATGGCTTTTATAATATTGTCCATGAATATGTCAAAAATCAACATGTTTTTCATAAAATAAACGTAAAATAAACAAAAACATTGTTGTTTTTATTTATGAAATATCAAAACAATAACTAAATTACATCAGAATAGCTTCCTGAGCTTCCTGCATTTATGCCTGCATTCAGAGCAATAAAGGTAACGAGAACAACAACGTCCACAAATGCGCTTGGAATGATTCGCCAAGGATATGCACTTCAAGTCTTTCAAACAATTGTTTTTGTTGTTTACCACGTATTGTTGATGTAGTATTTTTTAAATTGTACTTGCATAAACTAAACGACATAATCAAAAAGGAAGTTGAAATTTCTAACAAGAAAAAATACATAAATACATATGAAAAGTACGCACACACCTGTGACCGATGAATATCCTTGACCGGTTTAAAATGTAAAAAAAAATTAAATTTCTACTGAACTTGGAAAGTTTGCAAGTTCTAGAGAAAGGAATTGCATAAATTGCTAAAGGAAATTGGAAAAGGATATCTTAAAATAAT